GATAACGTTCCACAGCAGGAGGAAATCCAGCACTCAGACCTCACTTTCTAAATCCCATTCTCCAATAAGATGACTCAGAGCTCCTTGGAAAATGGTGATTCTAGACCTGGAGCAGAGAGACTCCACAGTGGGCCTGGAGCACCGGTGGAGCCCAAAGTGAAAAAGTGCTTAAAACACCTTGAAGGGCTTAAAAGGATGCACCAGCCAAGCTGAAGGAGAGCTTCCAAAGGACAAAGGTGGCATGATTTGAGCAGTAAAGCAAGAACAGTGATATGCAATATTACAGAATAAAATAAACATCCACAGTCCCACACTGATATGAATAAACTGAATAAACAAATGGGCAAAGAGGCAACTCTTAAACACAGAATTCCAACTAAATGTAGAAAAAACAGCAGACATTTAAAAGACAGCATTAGGCAAATATCACACTAATAACTGTGCTAAAGTCAGAGTGTGGAGGTGTTCCACAAAAGAAGATACTTGCACGGTCTCCTAGTGTTTCCTCCCAATGAGATACTGAGGAATCACAGAGGGAAAGAGCAGCTGTGCAGTGGGAACCAGGCAGACCCGCCTTCACCCAGTGACTCAGAATCATCACCAGCAACACCTCACCAACACCATGAACCTCCCGAGAATGAGAAGCGCATGACATAACTTGTGTAGTACTGTCCCAAACATGCGCAACCTCAGTCTAACCACGGGGAACATCAGACAGACCCACACTGAGGGATATTCTACAGCACATCCGGCCAGTTGTCTTCCAAAGTGTCCGTGTCATGAAGAACACACGAGACTGATGAACAGTCACACCCTGGAAGGGCTGAGGAGACAGGACAACCAAATACCGTGTGGGTCCTGAATCTGACTGTAAACCAGAGAAAGGCCATCAGGGTGGCCGTCCGAAACAGTCCAGTAAGATCAGTCGGAAAGTCAACAGTATTGTGTCGTGTTCACTTCCTGACTTTGTAAATGCACTGCTGATAGGCAGGACGTTAACGTCGGGGGACGTGGGGTGAAGCATATACAGGAATTCTCTGAACTAGTTTTGCAACTTTTCTGTAAATCAAAAAATATTTAAAAACAAAAACTTGAAAGAAAAGATTCCCATTGAAATAGTATCAAAAGCATGATTTAATTTAGCCTGCGCTAAAGTTAACTCTGCAGGGGGAGTTTTGTGGTAATGTCCCTAACTTGGAAAGGTTTTCCTTTTAATTTAGTTCACAAAAATCTACAGTTTTAATATATTATAAATTGTTAAATGTGGGGAGTCATTGTATTATAGGAAAAAACTCTACTTTTGTATATGTTCAAATTTTTTATACTTAAAATTTTAAATACATGTTATACACAAACATTTTAAAGTAAGTGTTTGCTAATACACCTAAGATAATTTTCTGTCACTTCTGTCACTTCCATAAACATTTAGAATTCTATCATAGAACGTTTAGGGCTGGAAGTGTTCAGAAACCAAGAGGGCCACCCTCCCTGCATCGCTGTGCAGGGGGAAGCTGACGCTCAGAGAGGCGACGTCCGGCAGAGCCGGCTGCAGCGGGTCCTGTCTCCTGACTGCTGGTCTCAGGATTCTTCAACATCACACAGCTGAGCTCATCTTCATTTACTCTAAACCTGCTTGTGAATGATAATTATCTGGATACTTTAACTGTAGTAGCACAGAAACACTATTTATAATTATTTCCAGCTTTTAAGAAAACTAATTTAAGCCCTGGCTGGCATAGCTCAGTGGATTGAACACGGGTTGCGAACCAAAGTGTCACAGGTTCGATTCCCAGTCAGGGTACATGCCTGGGTTGCAGGCCATGACCCCCAGCAACCGCACACTGATGTTTCTCTCTCTCGCTCCCTCCCTTCTCTCTCTAAAAATACATAAATAAAATCTTAAAAAAAAACTAATTTAGACTAATTTGCCACTCATAGAAATAAGGGTCCAAAGCAGTATATACAACATAAGAGATAAGAAAATCAACTATTCCAGTTTGCAGTTTTAAATGAACTCTTTATTTTAAAATCTGCCTTTTATGTAGTTCATGTTGCCATCCTTGTGCTGTGATTTTTTTTCTTACTGGAAGTATTCCTGTTTGCTCACAATTTTTCTGCAGCACTTCAGCTCCTTCAAACCTGTATCCACACAGAAAGCAGGAACTGAACACCAAATGTGTGTCAGGCACTGCGTGATGCTGGAAACAAGGGGAAGACGCTCCTAGTCCTCAAGCACTCACTGTGTCCTGCAGAAACACATATGCACTGTGTCCTGCAGAAACACGCATGTGCTGATGACAACACTAACAGCTGGGCACTGCGTGCTGGGCAGTGCACACTGTGGTGCACATAATGTGCTCTGGGAGGAGGAAGGATCAGCCACCTCAGTCCTCACAGCAGTGTCCTTACTCCCAACACAGGAAATGAAAAAACAGAAAACCCTCAGGTCACTCAGTAAATGGCAACACACACCTTGAACCCAGGTCTCGTGACACAGAGTGGAATGACCACTATCACCCAATGCTGCTCAGACTAAAATGATGAACTGGTTTTTACCTTGATGACAGCCAGTGAGATGCATTTGCGAAATCTGAAGAGCATTACAACCTACTACTCTGTTAGCAACTCTGCCACTGGCAATTTATACAACTTCTACAAACTCACTTTTCTCATCCTGGGATAATACATCTTCCTGTATAAGGGTGTGTGAGAAATACATGAAGAAACATGGATGGCAACTAACACATTTGCTGGCACACCAAGAAATCTGTAGAGTAAGAAGTGTTTGATCGATGGAGTATCATTTCATTCATTTTTTTGAGTTTGTAGTACCTGACACATACATGTTGAGTAAATATTTACTAAATAAAATCATTATCAAATAAATATCAAATTTAAAACTATTCTTGAGATACATTCAATATATTTATTTCTATAAACAAATTGTGAGGACTTCCAGCCAAGATAGAGGCATAGGTGGACACACCGTACCTCCACACACAACCAAGATAGGGACAACTACAATTTAGAAACAGAATAACATCCAGAAATGACAGAAAATTGATCTGAATAGAAGTCGGACAACCAAGAAATTGAATTAGACACGTGCATCCGGTAGGAGGAGCGGAGACAAGCAGCCAGGCACAGGTCGGAGCTCGGAGAGCAGAGGGCAGTGGGATCTGCGCATAAGACATCTGAGGGCACGAAAGGCCTCCGGGGCGCGCAGGACCACAGCGGGTGGACCCTGAGTATGCAGGCGGCAGCTGGCAGACCCTAGCCCAGGAATGGCAACCGGCAACCGGCAGACCCAGTGAGGCGGCGATAGTAAAGCAAGGCGGGGCGTGCAACCCAGGATCACAGAGCTGGGAAACAGAGCCTCTGGACACTGACTGAGACATCTGTGGGAAACGAGAAGCATGGAGAGACACCATCCTCACGGGGGAGGTCCTTGGAGCATCCCAGGGCATGCACAAGCCCACCCACATGGAAATTGGCACCAGAAGGGCCCAGTTTGCTTGGGGGAAGCAGCAGAGGAGACTGAGGTCCCACGGAGAATGGAGCAAGCGCCATTGTTCCCTCTCGACCCCGCCCCCACATACAACATCACAACCCAGAGACAGGGGTGCCCTGCCCTGGTGAACATCTAAGGCTCTGCCACTTACTGTAACAGGTGCGACCAGACACCCCCCCCCCAAAAAAAGGATGGATCAAATAGAAGAACAAATCAAAGCCCCAGAACTCATTCTTTTAAGCAACTGAGAGATAGCTAACCTATCAGATGCACAGTTCAAAACACTAGAGATCAGGATGCTCACAGAATTGGTTAATTTTGGTCGCAAATTAGATGAACATATGCAGGCTACAATTAGAGAAATGAAGAAAAATGCAAAGGAAACCAAAAGTGATGGGAAGGGAACTGGGACTCAAAACAATAGAGTGGACCAGAAGGAAGAAAGAAACAACCAAACAGGAAAGAATGGAGAAATAAGAATTCAAAAAAACGAGGAGAAGCTTAGAAACCTCTAGGACATCTTTAAACGTTCCAACATCCGAATTACAGGGGTACCAGGAGAAAAGGAAGAGTCAGAAATTGAAAACGTATGTGAACAAATAAATAAAGGAGAACTTCCCCATTCTGGCAAAGGAAACAGACTTCCAGGAAGTCCAGGAAGCTCAGAGAGTCCCAAACAAGTTGGACCCAAGAAGGAACACACCAAGGCACATCATAATTACATTAGCCAAGGTAAAAACGAAGGAGAGAATTCTAGAAGCAGCAAGAGATAAGGAGACAGTAACCTACAAAGGAGTTCCCATCAGACTGTCAGCTGATTTCTCAAGAGAGACCTTACAGGCAAGAAGGGGCTAGAAAGAAGTATTCCAAGTCATGAAAGGCAAGGACCTGCATCTCAGATTGCTCTATCCAGCAAAGCTTTCATTTAGAATGGAAGGGCAGATAAACTGCTTCTCAGATAAGGTCAAATGAAAGGAGTTCATCCTCACCAAGACCTTATTTTATTAAATGTTAAAGGGACTTATCTAAGAAAAGAAGATTAAAAAAACATGTATAGTAAAATGACAGCGAACTCACAATTATTAACAACCACACCTAAAACAAAAACAAAGGAAACTAAGCAAACAACTAGAACAGGAACAGAACCACAGAAAGGGAGATCACATGGAGGGTTAGCAACAGGGGAGTGGGAGGAGGAGAGAGAGGGAAAAGGTACAGAGAATAAGTAGTATAGATAGTAGGTAGAAAATAGGGGAGGGCAATAATAGTATGGGAAATGTAGGAGCTAAAGAACTTATGACACATGGACATGAACTAAAGACAGGGAATGTGGGTGGCAGAGGATGTGCAGGGTGGGGGAGAGTGAAGGGGGAAATAGGACAACTGGAATAGCATAATCAATAAAATATATTAAAAAAAAACAAATTGTAAGAAATCTCCAATTCAGCCCAGCTTCTGAGGACCGGTTCCCTCCCCCAGCAGTGCTTACTTTCCACAGTGGCTCCTTCGTTGGGGAATGAGTAGCCCTCTCCTTTCTGTTTGATTCTTCGGATGATGCCTCCATCTCCCAATAAATCTTCTCCTTTGAAATCAAGGAGCTCGATCTAGGAAGGAAGGAGATTTGGCCGTGAAAAGATCAAACACAGCTGACTGAACATACCTAAAGGCAAGGACAACGAATTCTCATTTTACAAAATAAAACTCTTTTCTATATTGATCTCTGCATCTTAGTTGTTGGAAGGGTGGGAGAAAAAGAACACTGCACTTGTCCGTCCCTGGAAAGCACCTCCAGGCACTGACCGCGTCTGGGACCACATCCCGTGGGGAGCAGGGCCAAGCCGGCTGGGGAACACTGGGAGGACGGCCTGGTGGGTGCAAAGCCAGAGCTCCCAAGTGCAGGCCCAACACTGGTGAATATTCTGTCCCACTCGAGAGACCACCACTTTCCCCACTCAGATCCACGGAATTCCCATCTTCAAATGTGAGACTAAATCCTATGAAATCAGGCCTGTAACCACATTGGGGTGTTTTTACCTCATTATGCTTTTTCAAGAATTTCCTCCCCCAATTTAAAAATCAAGTTTGGTCAAATATGTGTAATTCTACACATGAAAAACAACATATTCTCACCTGCTACAGTGGCCAATGAGATCTGTGACAGTTGTAAACTTTTATATGAAAACACCTTAAAGCTTGATACAGTCCTATTTCAACATTTACTCCCCACATTCCCATCCTGTCTTCTGTTGACGCTAATACGCCGCACTCACACCACCCCCCCGAAACCTTTCCTCCTAAGCTGCTCATTTGTTTGTTCGTTTGTTTGATACGACCTTTTTCTGCCACAGACACATTTATGAGAAAGCACTGTCACGCACACCTTGTGTTTGTGGGAAACAATTCAAGAAGCCGAGCTCCAAAATAAAGAAATGGGATCTCATTCTCAATAGCAAGCTTAACTCCTGCTCCACTGCCTCTTGCTCCAGAACCAGCACTACAGCAGAGCCGATGCTAACAGGGCAGCATCACGCACATACTTGCCTCAAAAAAGAGAGTTGCATTCGAGGGGATTCTGGGGACACTGCCAGCCGAGCCATATCCATATTCTGGTTTGCACAGTAAGTGGCACACTTCTCCTTTTTTCATGGTAGCCACCCCAATGTCCCATCCCTTGATGACTTGGCCTAAGAAAAAGGAAAAGGTGAGAGGCTGAAACCACCGTTATGTTAGTGTTAAGTCCTAGTTTGCAGATGGGGGGCTTAACACAAGTGACTCCATTTTGGACCGGTTGTCTCTCCTTTTTAATCCTCACCTGAGAAAATGTTTTTATTAATTTCAGAGAGAGGAAAGGGGGAGTGAGAAAGAGAAAGAAAGAGAAAAATATTCATGGGAGAGAGAAATATCCATTGTTTGCCTCCCATTTGTGCCCTGACAGGGGATCAAACCTGCAACCTTTTAGTGAATGGGAGACCAACTGAGCCACCCAGCCAGGGCAGTTTGTCCCTTTTTTAACAAAAGCCATAGGTCATATTTTAAAAGACTGAAATGTCATAACACAAAAGTTGCAACAAATTTCCAATTCTTTACACTAGAGACTCAGGCAGGAAGTAAGGACTACAGAAGAACTCAGTAAAAGCTGCACACAGAAATAAATTGTGATTTTTTTAAAGGCTATCAGAAGATATACTGCTGAGGAGGACAGAAGTATCCATTTCTCAACTGCTCAAAAATGAAGTCTTTGAAAAGTGGCAGTAATATAATCTTTGAAATGAGGCTGGGTTGCCGTTGTTGCTCAATTTCTAATTCAACCATAATAATAAGTGAATATTTTCTAGGCAGAGATGAAACAAAAATAGTATAGAAAATGGAATTTGCCATAAGGAAGCTGATAATTTTGTTGGTTACACAAAAATAACAAGAAACAACCAAAAAAGAATAAATTGCATAAAAGAGTCCATGAAACAAACATTTTCTTAAAGTTTAGCATAAGGAGAAAAATCTATTTAAAAAAAGAAAAACAAAATGGTATGTGTCCTTTTGTCAAAGCACTAGCACTACAGAATTCAGAATTTTTTTTCCTAATTCCAAGAGACAAAAAGCTAATCTTACTGCTTAAGAACTATGTTGGCCTGTCTATCGTAAAATAGGCAGTCTCAAATACTTTAGGAAACAATAGAAAATGTAGGTAATTTAAAAGGACAAAATCACAAAACTAAGGTGCTACATCAATCAGAAACTAAAGTGTTCAAAGTAGGATCAGGAAAACAGTGAACCCGGAGGAAGCGCACTCTGGAGACGGCTGGAATGTCACACTGAGAGCTGGTACTCCACGTTAGAACTGGGGGACCACATAGTAAGGCCTGTGAGAAGGGAGGGGTACAGCTTCTGAGACTCATGAGGACTCAGCTTAGTGTCCAGTAAGTGTTACAACTTTTCACAATATCAGATACACTTACTTTAGTTAAAATTTTATATAATATATACGTATTATTAAAATACCCAAGAAAGATAGAAAGTGAAAGAAAAAGGTCACCCATTTCCTCCTTGTAAGAAGTCACTGCTACGTTTCCTTTGTGTCCATTCAGGGTGTGCTGCTGCTTTTTAAAAACTGAAACACAAGTGACAGCACATTACACATTCTGTTCTCAACTGCTCTCCACAAAATGCACAGCAGATGCCCCTCGACTTGCCATGGGGGTACGTTCGGATAAACCCATGGTTAAGTCGAAAGTGTCACAGGTCAAAAAGGCATTTCATGCACCTAACCTGCCCAGTGTCACAGGCTGACCCAGTCAGTTTCTACTGAATGCGTATCACTTCTCTACAGGGTAGGAAACTGTCAGTCAAACCTCGAGGACCCTCTGCATCTTGACCTTTCTCTGTCAACGGAAAGGACAACATCCATGTTAGAGGTTCAAAGTGCAGCCTGCTTAAATGTCAGACAGCCTGCATTTGAGTACCAGGTCTGCCCCTTACTAGTCGTGTGACCTTGTACAACTCATTTAACTTCTGTGCCTCAGTTTCCTCATCTGCAAAATAATAATAGATACTAGTACCTACCATAATAATAGTAGTACCTGCCATAATGTTGTTATAAGAATTATTAAACAGAATATGTCAAATGCATGGTATAGTGCCTGGCATGTAATATGTATTTAATAAAGGAGAGCCACTGGGAGTACAAATAGGCCAACCCTGCTCTCACTGACTGCTTAATAGGCCAGCCACTCTCCAATTGCAAACATATTACTGACAGCACTCTAATAGGAACATTTGTCTACTTTGCCTACTTGGTGCAAGTTTATTTGGAGAGTAAAGGCCTAGAAGTGCAAAGGTTACATGCATTTTCTTCTTTCTTTTAAAGATTTTATTTATTTATGTGTAGAGAGAGGAGAAAGAGAGGGAGAGAAATATCAACATATGGTTGCTCCCACGTGCCCCCTGCTGGGAATCTGGTCCGCAACCCAGGCACGTGCCCTGACTGGGAATCAAACCAACAACACTTTGCTTCACAGTCTGGCGCTCAATCCACTGAGTCACACCAGCCAGGGCTGTGCATTTTCAATTTCAGAGATTTTGCCCAAATGCCCTTCCAAACTGGCTACATCAACTTACCTGCCGACACCTGGTTCTACTGTGAAAATCCCTGAACCATAAAAGAAATGTAAAGTCAGCTGTAACAGGCTGCTCTCCTGTCACTAATGTTCTTCAAAGACTGTCACGTGTAAGTCTTTGACTAACGGGTCACTGAGAACATGTTTTTAAAACTATCAACTGATATATTAAAACGAATACTTTTTTTTACTCCTCCCCGCCCCCACCGGCCATCCCTACCTGCCACCCTTGGCTAGGGTGGGGGGCAGTGGTAGGAAGAAAATGGAGACAACTGTACTTGAACAATAAAAAAAGAGAAAAAAGAAAGACAAATACTTGGCACAGTCCTTCAAGAAACTTTTATATTGTGAGGGTTCTACTGTAATTTGTTCAAGACGTTTAGCCAACTACTGAGGAGCCAAGGCCTGTCTAGGTACTAAGAACACAAAGGTGGTCATTCCCCTCTTCCTTCCAAGGAACATGCAATGTCTTGTGGCCAGTGGAGGAGAAACACAAATGCATTGTTTTCTTTCTTTCTTTTTTCCCAGCAAAGCATGGCAAACACTGAAACAGTGTATAAACAAAGGGATTTGCCTTGGAGTAAGGGTTGATGTGATCAGCAAAAGCTTAATTCATAGACGATATATATGCTAGGCCTCAGAAGCTGGAAACCTCAACCAGTGAATTCCACCCACAGGAGCCCCAAGGTCAGTGAGTCATGCCTGGCCTTTCCTTTCCTTCTCATTGGAGAGCACTGAAGCTTCTCGCTGAATAACACGCACAGAGGGAAGAGCTGGAATGAAATCAACATGGGTATGTTCCTAAAATTGTGAACACTGGGATTTTTTAATTAAAAAGCATTTCCCCAATTTAAAAAAAAACACACTCATTATAGTACTCTTGGAAAGTAGAGGAAAGCAGAGAGAATACAATAAAAATACCTCTGAAATTTCAGCATCTGGGGTAAACTGTCAATTTCTTGGTTCATTTCTTTCAAATTATACGAGGTGGGGCAAAGGTGTGTTTACAGTCCAGAGTACATGAAACAGAGCTTATTCTTGTGTGATTATTTATTAATTACTGTAGTGCTGCCCACACAAACAACTGTGAACCTACTCTTGCTCTCCCTGTATATATAGACTTTATGTGCATAGTAAATTTTTACATTCTTAAAATTCTAGTCATAGTTTATTTGGTTGTATAGTCTGGTCTTCATATTTCATATTATATGAGCAATTTCTTATTAACAGGTAGTACTTGAAAATATGACTTTTAATAACTATATACTATTTCATCATATAAGTATACCATAATTTCATTACTCCCCTTAAAAAACATGTAGGTTGTTCATACTTTTCTTTTACTAATATAAAGTTTTGGTGAACAGTTTTGGACCCACATCTTCTCATGACCTTTTTGCACAGTGAAAACATCTTACCTGACACAATCAGGACTATGCCTGGGAGTAAATTAATGTATTTTTAAATAACTTTTTATTTTTCAATTATGGTTGACATATATTAATAGTGATTAGATATTTACATAACTTACAAAGTGATCACCCAAGAAGTCTAGTACCCATCTGACACCATCCAGAGTTATCACAATAGTACTGACTATATTCCTCAGGCTGTACTTTACATCCCTGAAACTGCTTTTTTAAAAATTTTATTTACTTATTTTTAGAGAGAGGGGAAGGGAAAGAGAAAAGAAGGGAGAGAAACATCAATGTGGGAGAGAAACATAAACTGGTTGCCTCGTGCACGTGCCCTGAATGGGAACTGAACCCACAACCAGGGCATGTGCAGTGACCCGGAATCTAACCTGCAAACTTTCAGTTTCCAGGATGACCCCCAACCAACCGAGCCACTCCGGACAGGGCAGTAGTTCTCGTTTTCATGTTTTCAGGAATGTTTTCCTTCATGGCTACACCAGTTTCCATCCCCACCAACAGTGCCCGAGGTTTCCATTTCTCTGTGACCCTGTCAGCACTTGTTTTGTTGTCTGATGGCAGCCATCCTGCTCAAGTGTAAGGGGACGTCTCTCTGTGGTTTGACTGGCATTTCCCTGGTGATTTCTGACATTGAGCATCTTTTCATTTTCTTGTAGCCCCGATATGTCTCCTTTGGAGAAATGTCTAAGTCCATTGTCCATTTCATAATCAGGTTATCTGGGGGCTTTTGGTTGTTGAATTACAAGAGATCTTTATGTATTCTGGGTATTAACCCCTTATCATGCATATCATTTGCAAGTATTTTGTCCCATCCATAGTTTGCCTTTTCACTCTGTTACTGTATCCTTTGATGCACAGCTTTTTTAAACATTTTGATGTAGCATAATTTAGGTATTGTTTACTTTTGTTGCTGTGCCTTTGGTGGTATATCCAAGAAATCATTGCCAAATCCAATGTCATTAAGCTTGTCTTCTAAGAAAATATAGTTTTAGGTTGTATGTTTACTTTAGGGTTTTTATCAATTTTGAGTTAATTTTTGTTATGGTGTAAAGTTAGGGTCCAATTCACTTTTTTGCATGTGAATATCCAGTTTGAGAAAAACATTTGTTAAAAAAAACTGTCCTTTCCCCATTGAATGGTCTCAGAACCCTTGATGAAAACTACAGACTACGTAATTGTTAAGTGTATGTTTGAAGTATAAGCATAGTTACAATACAATAGGATGAAACCTGTATAGTAGTATACAGAAAAAATACACTTTTTTATATGGGAGTAGAAAAGTGAATTAAAAAGATGAAAATAATTTTCTTTATCCTTCCCCAAGGACACTGACTTTAGAGAGAAGAGAAGGGAAGGAGACAGGGAGAGAGAAACTTGGATGTGAGGGAGAAACATGGACTGGTTGTCTCTCAGACTCACCCCGACTGCAGACTGAACCTGCACCCCAGGCATGTGCCCTGACCAGGAGTCAAACCCAGCACCTTCCAGTTGATGGGACGATGCTCCAACCAACTGAGCCACATCCACCAGGGCAAAACATAAAATATCTTAACTATAAAAAGTTTTCCTTTAAAATGTAAAAGTTGACAAATACTTAAATACAAGGTTAATCACTAATAAGTTTCAGATCATTAAGAACACATCTGATTCACTCCTACTGTGGTTTCATTGAAGAATTGCCAGGACGTTGCACCAGCTCCTGATCTGCAGTGGTTTGCGAGCACACGGGGTGGGGCAACAGTAGGTTCGCAGTTGTGAGTGTGTGGAACACAGTTTGTTCCTCTGTTACTATTCACTCATTATTGTATTATTTTCCCCACAAACAACTGTAAATCTACTTTCGTCCCACCCTGTATTCTGCATGTTTTTACAAATAAGGTCTTAAAATTCTATTTTAAATGCCATAGTCACAATCAAATCCCAAAATCGGCACGACTTTCCATTCAACCATTCACTTCTCTTTATTCCCGTGGGAAAACAGGCACACTATATGGGACCCAGAGAGTTGAGTGTGCAGTGTGTGTGCTATGGTCCATGTATATTATTATTCTTCACTTTGGTGAGTACAACTGCTGTAACACAGCATATACACACTGTCCAACCCATGTTTCTTATTTTACACAGGTAACTGAACACACTACGTTACAGGAGTTTTACCAAAGGCGTCCTGCCCTATCATCATATTTCTAAATATCACCTGAGGGAAGCCTCTAAAGGTCCTGTCACACTGTGTTGGTTTCAGTCACGTACAGTTTTATTCCCACACTCTGTGCAGAAAGTACGCAAATGGAATCACAGACTCAGGACTGATCTTAAAGCCCTTCTCCCGATGTCTTCTTTCTGCAGGCGCAGGGGAGAAAGTCAGGCGGTGTGTTCGTGCTCACGCCCCACAGTGAAGAGCAGAGAGAGGAGCCTGGCTGCCCAGCACCAGCTGGGTGCTCTCCCCACGAGACCACGCTGTCTCCACACAGGTGCGTCACAGGTACTGCGTCTACCCAAAGTCACCTCTTCTCTCTGCTCAAAATCATAGGAAACATAAAAGACCCCTTCACCATAGAGTGTTTCACTGAGAAAACCTGGGTGGAGAAGGTACAAATTCTCAGCAATTCTTAAGTCTACTTGCAAAGATAACAGCTGAGAGAAGACTTTTCTTAAATCTCTCAGCTTCTTCCAGAAACTCAAAGGGAAGAGGAAGAGTTTGGGGCAGTGGGAACAAAGGGATCTGCACGGCCATTTACTCTGAGATCATCTAAATTGAATAATGTCATGGCCATGCCCTTGAGGTTCACATCCCTAAATCAATAAAAATGAAAAAAATCTAATTTAACTGTCTTTATTATCTGCTACATCAAGAAAAGAACTGGTATTTGATTTTGACTGCTATCTTATTGAAACACAAAATTAATCTCAAGATTAATGAGCCATTCACTCACTAAGGCCCCAAAGGAGAAGGCAGCAGTGGCAGGGGCAGTGAGAGAGCCTGGAGAGCAGCAGGACAGGAAGCAAAGGCACCAGGACACACGAAGGCCCCTGAGCACCAGGAGAGACAGAGTGGCAGGAAGGTGGAATGAGTTTAACCCCTTAGCTCCTCACCCGCTGTTCCTTTCCCAGATCACTGCTTAGTGAACAATTCCACTAAACTGTAGAGGCAGAAAAAGAAAGAAGTTGTAGGAAACACTGAGCCATGCTGGTGGGCAAGGGGATTAGTCCTTTTCTCCTATACTTCATCTGACAATGAACGAGAAGTCTGTCACTGGAACCTATGGCAAATAAGAATAAAATGACATCACACATTCCACTTATATGTGGAATCTAGTAAACAAAATAAACTAACAAAATAGAAACAGACTCATAGTACAGAGAACAGACTGACAGTTGTCAGAAGGTTGGGGAGGTGAGTGAAAATAGGTAAAGGGATTAAGCAAAGAAAAAAAACTCATAGACACAGACCACAGTATGGTGATGACCAGAAGGAAAGGGGGTGAGAGAGGTAGAAGGTAAAGGGGGATCATGGTGATGGAAGGAGACTTGACTTGGGGTGGTGAACATACAATACAATATACAGATGATGTGTTATAGAATTGCACACTTGAAACCTTTAATTTTATTAACCATTGTCACCCCAATAAACTCAGTAAAATATTTTTCAAAAAGTTGTAATTCAGAATTGAATGAATTCAACACCCAACATGGTCCACAAAGTTTTGATGTATAGGCTATTATTCTTCTTACAAGATTAAAGAAATAAGAATATTAAATCAACTGAAGACATTTAAAAGCATTTGAAAAGAAATTAGTAAAAATCACATTTAAGACTTGAAAACAGTGGTTATTAGCCTTTTTTCCCTCAGGACCTCTCTACATCTTATAAATTGAGAACCCCAAAATTTTACTTATCTATAGAGTTACCATATTAAAAATAGATTAGAAATCTATATAGTTTAAAAATAGATTAAAAATCTATATAGTTGCCACATTAAAAATAGAAATAGTTGCATGCCAATTCATTTAAAAATAACTTCATTATGTTAACATAATTTATTATTACAAAAATAACTATATTTTCAAAAAGACAAATTAGTGAGGAGAGTGACATTGCTTTGTGATTTTGCAAATATAAAATATGTCTGAATTAATACAAGATAACTGAGTTCTCATACCCACTTTTACATTCATCTGTTCCAATTCTAGTTGATATACATGGCAAAAATATCCAAACTCACAAAGATAGGTATTTTGAAGAGGAAGGAGTATTTTAATAGCCTTTACAGATAATTATAAATATATAATCATCTGATACATCAAAACTAGACAAATGGCAGTTTCATAAAGGTTAGTGGCAATGTAGAACCTGAAGCCATATCAATGAACTTTTTCTATTACACTATAGGAAAACCCAGTGGTCCAGCTTGCTCATTGCATGGACCTTGTACTCAGGCATCACTTTGTAATATCTTGCATTGGTCATTGGGAAGATACTGGTTCACTGAGTTACACAGATTTTCCAAATGTTAACAGATTTCATCACATAATATTTTTACAATCACTTACATCAATACCCATTGATTTCATCAAGTCTTTTACATTTTGGGAAGCTATCAAGCTCAAAGTGGCAGATGCAAATGTCCAGAATTGTCATCTTCACTTGAAACTCCAATGGTAACAAATATTGTCAGTTGTTTTCCTTGAATGAACAGGTTACTTCATTCATTTTCAAGAAAATGCCTACCTAATACAAAATAATCAAGTCTGAATAATCACACCCTTTGCCCTCTCTAATAAAAAGGGCAAAATTTTTAAAAAAGGGCAATAAAAACATGCAGCTCGCTGAGCTCTCAGCTGCAGCCAGGGCCCAGGGTGTGTCTCCTGGAGACCACCACCCTCCTGGGGCAGGCGGTGTACTCTACATGTGCTTCCCTTTCTTCACAAAAGAGCAAGACAATGTGAAACTCCAGGACAAGGACTTAATAAAATGAGTATTTTGCACTATATCAAAGTCATTCTTAAGTGGCACTGGCTTCCCTTTTCTCTACCTTAACCCGTAAATGAGGGCAGCAAAGGAAGCCTGACTGCTGGTGCAGTTTGGAGCCACTGCCTGGATTTGGGCTCAGGCACCAGAGATTTGTACCACTACAGACTCAGTACCATCGTTGCAAACGTCCACACACTGTAAAAAGATAAGTAATATCTTAGTGCTATTATGAAAATAATTTTGACATTATGGACCTCCTAAAAGGGTCTTAGAAGTTCCTAAGGACCCAGGAACCATAATTTGAGAACTGTGGCTTTAAAATCTTTACTTTTGGCAAGGATAGTACCCACCAGGTCCCATGTAATAGAAATAGCAATAATCTAAGCAAAACACAACTCAAAAAATACCCTCTTACCTCTGCCAAGACTAAAGACAAATGGCTCCCTTCTATCATGACTGGAATCAAACTTCTTTCCATTTGACAATTTTCCTGTGTAATGGACATAAATTTTATCTCCGATCATTGGTGTTTCCTCACTATTCCCCACTCTTTTGACAATCTAGAAAAGACAAACATCAAGAAAATAAAGTGGAATTTTTAACCTCTAATCAGAGAATCAAAAGATATCACCATCCATTTCACATCCCAAAGGCAGGTTTGCAAATAACAATCTGTCTTTTCTAAATGCCCCCTTCCTAGTCCTCTCAGTAACTCTCTCTACTGGAAAACTGTCCTAGTCTGCTCTTGCTCTGTAATGCTCTATGTAATGTCATTGTTAAACACACTGCTCCCTCACAATAATTTACGGACAGATCCTGCTCCATTGGTTTAATGCCCCCCATGCTTGGACACTAGAATCTCCCAAAGCACAAGAGTTAGTCCCTCAAAACTGAATTAGACCAAAAGATCGGACTTTTAAAAACATTCCAGAAGTCTAAAGCAAAGTTTCAAAGGTGAAGTTTTACTTCCCTCCTTTGCTACAAACACTAGTTCTGGCTAGATTCCGCTAGTTGGATTAAATTCCAAAAAGACCAATTTGCTGGTATAAGAGTTTATACTTCTTATTATTTGAATATCCAATGCATCAAAAATCAGTGTCACTGTACAGTTTCATAATAATGAATAATTTATCTTCTAAATAAGGAAATGCCAAAAAATCTCCAAGCTGCAAAATACTCAGGTATTGTAAAATCCAGTATATTTATTTCATCTTGGTAGAACAGCCACTAATGCAGGTGGTAAATCCTGGAAAAAGAAAACCAAATCCAGGCATGTGGTGGTGTAATTTATTCTGTCAATCACCTGAACTAAATTAATTATTTTTATTAGATAGCAGAGGGTGGTAGCTAATGTCCAAAGAACATCCTTTTGGGGGAAAGATCTTAATTTTTATTTAAAGAATTCAATTATTTGTTCTTACATTGTTCTTTAGGATGTGTCTTTCTTGCCATACCCTCATATTACCACATAAATACCATCTTAGGATCTACAACTTTCTTAGTTCAAAAGCTCAGTCTCTAAAGGAAAACAATCACTAATGCAACTTCATCAAAAACTGTTAGAACTAATCAATAAATTCAGTAAAATTGTAGAACATCAAATCAACATAAAGATATCAGTTGTGTTTCTGTACATTAACAATGAAATATCTCAGAAAGAAATAAACAGTTCTGGAAATGCAAATCAAAATCACAATGAGGTATCACCTCACACCTGTCAGAATGGCTATTATCAAAAAAACAAGACATAAAAGGGAACCCCTGTGCACTGTTGGTAGGAATGTAAACTGATGCAGCCACTATGAAAAGGAGCATGTATGTTCCTCAAAAAATTAAAAATAGAACTACCACATGATCTAGCAACCCCACTTCTGGATATACCAGGGCGGGACCCAAAATAAATGGGAATTATTTTCTGTACGGCAGGCCCCTTGTCGTACAGGATTCCCTAGCTAGGATCCATCTGTATCAGTGAAGCAGCTGGTGTTGTTATGAGAGGCTGTGTTCAGCTTCAGTGAATGTTTTTTGAAGACTCTTTCAACATGTTTGCCCATTTCATGATGGGTGATTTACGCAAGCCTGCCTACCTAAACCACCGAGTGTTCGGCAGTTGTTGACCAAAAACAGCATGATCCCCATGCCCCACCCTCCCTATTCACCCAATCTTGCCCCTAGTGACTTTTTTTAGTTTCCCTGGATGAAAAAAGTCCTCAAAGGGACTTTTGGCAATGTGGAAGAGGTGAAACAAAAAATGGCAGAACCCCTAAAAGGCATCAAAATCAACAAGTTCAAAAACTGTTTTGCGCAGTGGAAAAAGGTCTCAATAGGTATACTTCATCAAACACAGTACTTTGAAGGTGACTGGAGTTTAAATGTGTAAGAATACACAATTTTTTACAAATGAATTCCAGCATTTTTCGCTCCCCTCTTAAAAACACAAAGGGAACAAACTCACTCTCTCAGAGACATATTCACACTTCCACATCACTGTAACATTATTCACAACGCCCAAGCCTTAAAAGTCACCTGAGCGGCCGTGGGCGAAGGGACAAAGAGGATGTGACACACACACTCACACACACAGGAATATTACTCGGCCCTGAGGAAGCAGGAAATCACGCCATCTGTGACCATATAGGTGTACCCTAAGGGCATTATGCTAAATGAAATAAGCCAAAGAAAAAGCACTGTTATATCACTTACATGTGGAATCTAAAAAACCTCAACTCACAGGACCAGAGAGCACAATGGCGGCTGCCAGGGGCTGAAGGTGGGGGAAATGGTGAGATGTAAGTCAAACCATATAAACTTTTAGACATAAAACAAATAAGTTTGGGGGATCTAATGTACAACATAGTGGCTGTAATTAACAACACTGTATTATATACTTGAAAGTTGCTAAGGGATTAGAACTTAAATGTGCTCACCACAAAAAAGAAATAGTAATTATGTGAGGTAATAGAGGTGTTAACTAATTTTACTGTGGTAATCATTTTTTTAAAGATTTTATTTTATTTATTTATTTGTTTGTTTGTTTGTTTGTTTGTTTGTTTTTAGAGAGGGAAAGGCAGAGGGAAAGAGAGGGAGAGAAATATCAATATGAAGTTGCCTCTCATGTGCCCCCTTACTAGGGACCTGGCCTGCAACCCAGGCCTGTGCCCTGACTGGGAATCAAACCGGCGACCCTTTGGTTCACAGGCTGGTATTCAATCCACGGAGGCACACCAACCAGGGCTGGTGATCATTCTGAAATATATAAAATGTATCAAATCATCTCATTGTAAATTTAGCACACCTCACCATAAATTTACATAATGTTATGGGTTAATTATACCAACAGAGTTGCAAAAAATAATTCTAACTTTAAAAATTGAATTAAGAACTACTTAAAAACATTATTACTGACCTTCATGAATTTCAAAGGGGGGAAGTTTGAAAAATTAATCTAAAAGAAATCACATAATATCCTAAAATTGCTCACTGTCATGAACTGCATGCAGTACGTGGGAGCCTCGGCCTCCCCGGAGGGAATCTGCGTTTGCAGGACTGTGAACCAGTCACTGGGCGTGTGGGATGGAGAGCCACTAGGGGGACAGACTGCTGTCCCTGTCAGCCAGCAATACTGTAATTGATGCCACTTCAGGTTTCCCCAGGAAGATGAACTTATGCCTGAATCTGGAGTTTCCTTAAGGCTACAACCTAGTCTCAAGTCATTAAACATAAAAGTAAGCACCACAATTTTATCTTCCTGGACTAGTTACTGACTTCCCAGAGCTGCCTTGGTCTTTTCTAAAAAATATGGATAACAGTTAATAAGAGAGATTACCACAGCCTTGGCACTAGGCTAAATGCTTTATATAATCCCAAACTCTAGGAAGTAGGTTATGCAGTGGTAGGTACCGTGTTACTCATTAACTCTTTCTAGAACTTGGGACAAGTTCCCAAGGACCCACGAGGTCTGAACTGTCCACCAGCTACCAGCAGACTGATGCCTCAACCTCTGTTTCATCGTGACAGAGGGATGCCCAGGAGCCAGTAAGCCCTGAGTACTGAAACATTTTCTTCCCATCAAAATGCAATGAGTACAGAGTTTGACAAGTTCTGAAGCCCAGGGCTGCCAAGGTATGACTATATTATTATTCCAGTTTCACCAGTGAGGAAACTTTTATCATAGATAGGAGGTCACAAAATCAGCAGGCCTATTTAATCTTAACCCAAGCCCCACAGTGAAACCTGAGGCTGATAATTATAAATGATGTGACTTAAGGGGCTTACAATCTGGACTTCTGGCCAAGATGGAGGTGTAGGTAGATACAGTGTGTGTCCTCCCATAACCAAAATAAGGACAACAACAATTTAGAAACAAAATAACAACCAGAATGGCAGGAAATTGACCTGTATGGAAGTCAGACAACAAAGGAGTTAAAATAGACACATTCATCCAGACCAGTAGGAAGGGCGGAGTCAGGCAGCCAGGTGGAGAGGGGTCACAGCACAAAGAGGGTGACACCAGGCACATATGGCATCCCAAGGGCACAAGACCAGAGCAGGCAGACCCTGGGCGCACAGGCAGCAGCTGGCAGACCCCAGGCGCGGGGTGGCAACGGGCAGACCCAGCAAGTCAGCAATTGTGAAGCAAGGCACTGTTCACACAGCCACTAGCTGACCCCCGTCCCACATTCCCACGCAGATAAACCAGGCAAAACTGGGGAGCAAGACTTACTGCGCAGCATAGGGTCCCAGTGCTGGGAAAAAGAGCCTCAGGGCACTGACTAAAAACACCTGTGGGGGTTGAGGCACAGGGAGAGACTCCCAGCCTCACAGGAGAGTTTGCTGGAGAGACCCACAGGGTCCTAGGACATGCACAAGCCCACCCACATGGGAATCAGCAGCAAAAAGGCCCAGTTAGCTAGGGGGAAGCGGAAGGGACTGAAATCCAACAGAAAGCAGAGCAAGCGCCACTGTTCCATCTAGGACCCCACCCCTACATACAGCATCACAACCCAGCAACTGGGGTGCCCCGCCCTGGTGAACCCTAAGGCTTTGCCCCTCATTCCTAACAGGCGGGACAAGACAAAAAGAAAAAAAATGGCCCAAACGGAAGAACAGATCACAGCTTCACAGCAAATACATCTAAATGACCAAGAGATAGCCAACCTACCAGATGCACAGTTCAAAGCACTGGTGATCAGGATGCTCACAGAATTGGTTGAATCTGGTCACCAATTAGATGAAAAATCAAGGCTACACTAAGTGAAATGAAGGAAAATGCACAGAGGACCAATAGTGATGGGAAGAAAACTGGGACTCAAATCAACAGAGTGGACCAAAAGGAAGAAAGAAACATCCAACCAGAAAAGAATGAAGAAACAAGAATTCAAAAAAATGAAGAGAGAGTTAGGAACTTCAAGGCCATCTTTAAACATTCCAACACCCGAAATACAGGGGTACCAGAAGGGGAAGAGGAAGAGCAACAAGTGGAAAGCTTTTTTGGACAAATAATAAAGAACTTCCCCATTCTGGCAAAGGAAATAGACTTCCAGGAAGTCCAGGAAGCTCAGAGAGTCCCAAACAAGTTGGACCCAAGGAGGAACACACCAAGGCACATCATAATTACATTAGCCAAGGTAAAAATGAAGGAGAGAATTCTAGAAGCAGCAAGAGATAAGGAGACAGTAACCTACAAAGGAGTTCCCATCAGACTGTCAGCTGATTTCTCAAAAGAGACCTTACAGGCAAGAAGGGGCTAGAAAGAAGTATTCCAAGTCATGAAAGGCAAGGACCTACATCTCAGATTGCTCTATTCAGCAAAGCTTTCATTTAGAATGGAAGGGCAGATAAAGTGCTTCTCAGATAAGGTCAAATGAAAGGAGTTCATCCTCACCAAGCCCTTATTTTATTAAATGTTAAAGGGACTTATCTAAGAAAAGAAGATAAAAAAAAGATGTATAGTAAAATGACAGCGAACTCACAATTATTAACAACCACACCTAAAACAAAAACAAAAACAAAAACAAAAACAAAAAGAAACTAAGCAAACAACTAGAACAAGACCAGAACCACAGAAATGGAGATCAGATGGAAGGTTAGCAACAGGGGAGTGGGAGGAGGAGGGGGGGAAAAAGTACAGAGAATAAGTAGCACAGATGGTAGGTAGATAACAGACAGGGGGAGGACAAGAGTAGTATGCGAAAGGTAGAAGCTAAAGAACTTGTGACACATGGACATGAATTAAAGGAGGGAATGTGGGTGGGAGAGGGTGTGCAGGGTGGAGGGGAGTAAAGGGGGGAAATGGGACAACTGTAATAGCATAATCAATAAAATATATTTAAAAAACAAACAAACAGCCCTGGCTGGCGTAGCTCAGTGGATAGAGCTCAGGCTGCGAACCAAAGTGCCACAGGTTCGATTCCCAGCCAGGGTACATGCCTGGGTTGCAGGCCATGGCCCCCAGCAACTGCACATTGATGTCCCCCTCTCTCTCTCTCTCTCTCCCTTCCTTCCCTCTCTAAAAAAAAGAAAGAAAAATAAACAAATAAATAAATAAATAAATAAAATCTTAAAAACAAACAAACAAAAAAGGCTTACAATCTCAAAATGTTCCTTAGAAGCCTAAAAATCTTATTGGTTTCACCCCTAGAACCAAGCAGAACCAGAGGCAAGTTGGGGACCGTGTTCTCTGATGGGTGCTCAGAAAAGATGAAAGAGGACCGAGATACCAAGGACGCCTGCAGAGTCTCACTGTGTCTGCCAGCATCCTGGAGTGTGGGATGTGAGATTATATGCTGTCAGGTTGAGAAACCATCTGAAAGAAGGTAAGGTCTCATGATATAAATCCATAACATAACCCCTTATTCTGTAGTTGCAAGTCTCCAAAATTTGGCTTGGCAGACAACAAGCTAATAGTAAAACATACACATTCAGAAGAGATTCAGGCAAAAAAAAAAGCACTCACAAAAGCAACATTAGACAAAAACTAAAAATTCTCATTTGCTACTGTGGACACAAGGACATAGTAGAACTCAGCACACAGGTAATATTTAGAATCAAATATTACCTGTGTGCTGAGGTCAAAGCGTAAAAACTTTGTAAGATAATCTTTTCAGCAAAAAAAATGTACAATTATACAAAACTCATATGCATAACAGTGTAAGAGAAATAACTTAATATGACCAAAGCCATTCAACCTCTCCTAGTTTCAGTTTATTCACTTATATGGAATATATATATCTATTCTCCATATGTAAATAAAAGAATCAAGAGGTACTCTGTCTTCCAAGACCACTTGGAGATACAAATAAAATAACACATATAAAAATGATTAGCTACACGGTACATACTATTTGTATATAAAAACAAATCCTTTTGAACTTTGCAAGGTAGCTCTTCTTTTCCTTAAAAAAAAGTCTTTTGAATTGTTACGAGCTAGCTTTAATACACTAAATATTACATTGAAGTAACAACCCATTTGTCCACTCTGAGACAGCCTTTTGGAGTCAGACATAACTTGGACCTGAACCCCAGATCTGCATTTACTTACATGTGTGATACTCAGCATTTAATTTCCCTGGCTGGGCCTCAGTCTCACCATCTATTGTATAATCTGGGGTCAAAACTAAACCTCAAGTTATGAAATGAAGTGAGGCTTCAGCTGTCATGTTTGGCACTTAGTAAATATTACCACCTCCAGCCCCACCCCCAAAAAGTTTTTACAAACACTCTTTGCAGAGTGAATTCCCCACGTCATTCGTCTGCGTGGCCTCACCTTCAACACTCCTCTATCTTTCTTCAAGGTTAGGTCCTCTCCCTGTGCAGCAACAGCCGCTGCTGCGCTTGCTCTGTTGTTCTTGGCACCTTCATCAGTAGTCATTGTCTTTTATAAGTAAAAAACCTGCTGAGAAAAAACATATTTAGGAAAAATATCATTTCTTCATGCATCATAAAATGTTCCCAGGAACTGAGCATTCATAACCTGATCTGAGCATTCACATAGGAAAACGAGGTTGACATGTAGATGGGGAAACAATTCCCAAGGAACAAAAACAGCTATTTTGGTAATACAGAGTTCACTTTCCATTGCAACCCTCTGGCAAAAATTGTTAATTCTGAGCTTTACTCCCCTTAGATATTGTGCTGGTTTTCTATAGCTGTCATAACAAATTACCACAGACTTAATGGTCTAAAAAATACTCATGGCCTAAATCTTACGCTTCTGCAGGTCAGAAGTCAGAAATGAATCTCACTAGGCTAACAACAAGGTATTAGGGCTATATTCCTTCTGGAAGCCCTAGGAGAGAATCTAATTCCTTGCCTTTTCCAGATTCTAGAGGCCACCCAAATTCCTCAGTTCACAGCCCCACTCCTCCATTTTCCAAGCCAGCAATACTGCCTCTCTCTGATCACCTTCCCTAGTCACGTCTCCCTGAACACAGCTGGGAAAGTTTCTCTGCCTTCATAAGTTTCTTAACAATCTTTTGTGGGACAGCCCGGACTCCAAGATGGTGTCAGTGGTACCAGTGTAGGGGAAGAAATTCATGGATGTCAAATAGGGGAGCCACCAGCTGAGAGCAAGGCAGGATTTCACCCCAGGAGGCCCTTGTCAGAGCATTTCAGGAGTGACTCAAAGAGGTTACCACTAGTATTACAAGTATTCAATGCGAAGAAGGGGAGCATCACTGGGGTTTCTATGGTACTGGTAGCTTACGTGCTTTTTTTAAAATCCTGATCCAAGGATATGTTTACTGATTTTTACAGAGAGAGGAAGGGAGAGACAGAGCGAGACAGAGATAAAAAAAACATCAGTGTGTGAGAGAAACATCAATAGGTTATTTCTCATATGGGCCCAAACTAGGGATGGAACCCGCAGCCTACCTTTGTGCCCTGGCAAAGAAATGAACCTGTAACTTTTTTGGTGTATGGAAGGGCACTTGAACTAACAGACTCACCCAGCCAAGGTAGCTTACATGCTTTTAAACATAAGAAACTCAAACATGAGGAGTGATGCAAGTATTGTACCATTGCAGAAGGCCCAGTGTGGACTCCACATTGACTATGAACTTTGCCAAGCATCTCTGAATCCTTTCACATCCTAATTAACACCAAAGAAAAGATAAATGGTACTGGGGCAAAAAGGAGAATCCATGTGAGTATGTTAGTCCCATCTGGATAATTCAGAAAAATCTCCCCATCTCAAGATGGCTAGCCTTAACCACATCTCCAAAGTCCCCTCCGCTCTGTAAGGCAACATATGAACAAAATCCCAGTGACTGGGATGTCGCCGTCGATGAAGAGCTGTTATTCTACCACCACAGATACTCAGTCATCCAATTAGGGTCATAAGAATTTCTCCCAAGTCTAGAACTATGTTGACTTCCTCAGTTTTAAACTAAGGGCTCTACAAAAGTTTTTCCTTTCTCTCCCTTTATTTATCTATCATCCAGTTGGATAATAATGTTCTAATCTGACAGTAAAATTAAATCTAACATTTGGTATTATCATTCTGAAAATTCCCTCAGAATTTCAGAAAGCTCAAATTAGAACATTCATTTAATCTCAATTTTCTAATAAGTTCAAATTTTAAGTAAACTTGATATACACAATACATATTTTCCTACCTCATCAAACTTCATCACTGAAAAAATATTTTAAATTATTGAGTCCCTTACATGATTCCAAAGTTTGAGCAGCATGTAATAAATGCTGAACTCACACATTTTTTACAGATTTAGTGACATATACTTAACATACAATAAACTACACATATTTAAAGTATACAATTTGTTAAGTTTTGACACATGTATATATATCCATAAAGCCATCACTACAATTAAGATAATGAACATATTTGTCACTCTTAAAAGTTTCCCGTGTCCCTTTATAATTTATCCCTGACCAGCTCACATCTTCAGGCAATCAATGATCTGCTTTCTGAGTAGTTGTATTTTATAGAATTCCACATAAATGGCATCACATCTTTTTCCCACTGGCTTCTTTCTCTTCTTTTAGGTATACTGAGAATCAAACACATTGTTGGGTGTTTCAATAATAGTTCATTCCTTATTACTGTTGAGTACTACCCCTGCACAGAGACAGTGCATTGCTTATTTAATTTGCTTGTTGATGTACATTTTGATTATTTGCCTATTGATGCATTTGGATTGTTTTTAATTTCTGTCTATTACAACCAAAACTGCTTTGAATATATGGGTACAAATCTTTATGTGGCCATACACACTATTTATCTTGAATGATGCCTAGGAAGTGAAATGGCTAAGTCACATGGTAGGTGTATAGTCTGGGTCTTTAAGAAAGTATCAAAATGTTTTCCAAAGTGGCTGTACCATTCTGCATTCCCACTAGAAGCACAGGAGTTTCAGTTGCTCCTCACCATCACTTTTTTTAAAGATTTTATTTATTTATTTTTAGATAATGGAAGGGAGGGAGAAAGAGATGGAGAGAAACATCAATGTGTGGTTGCTTTTTTGCATGCCCCCAAATGGGGGCCCTGGCCTGCATCCCAGGCATGTGCCCTGACTGGGAATTGAACCAGTGACCCTTCGATTCACAGGCCGGCACTCAATCCAGTGAGCCACACCAGCCAGGGCTCACCAGCACTTTTTTAACTGAAGACATTCTAACATGTATATAGTGGTATCTTATTGTGGCTTTAAATTGCATTTCCCTAATGATGAATTATGTTGATCATATTTCCATGTACTTATTTACCATCCATACAGCTCTCTCTGGTGAAGGGTCTATTAAAATCTTTGACCTATTTTTTTAAAGATTTTATTTATTTATTTTTAAAGAGGGGAGGGAGAGAGAGAGAGAGAGAAACATCAATGTGCGGTTGCTGGGGGCCGTGGCCTGCAACCTAGGCATGTGCCCTGACTGGGAATCGAACCTGCGATGCTTTGGTTCACAGCCTGCGTTCAATCCACTGAGCTACGCCAGGCAGGGCGATCTATTTTTTTTAATCTTCACCTGAGAATATGCTTACAGAGGGAGGAAGGTAGGGAAGGAGGGAGAGGGAGAGAGAGAGAGGTGAAAGAAAAATATTGGTTGGTTACCTCCTGTGTGAACACTGACCACGGATTGAAACCACAACCTAAGTATGTGCCCTAACCTGCAACCTTTTGGTGTAAAGAACAATGCTCCAACCAACTAAGCCCCTCGGCCAGGACTCTTGTCTACTTTTTTACTGAGTTTTCCAATCACTGAGTTTTGAGAGTTCCTTATATATTCTGAATACAGACATATGAGAGTATTTTTTTCCAGTCTGCGGCCTATCCTATTAGTCTCTTAAAGGTGGCTTTCAAAGAGATGTATGTAATATTGACATAGCCCAATTTATTTTTGTTTCTTTTGTAAATCACGTTTTTGGTGTTATACTTTAGAAATTGTTACCAAACCCAAAGACACACATATTTTCTTCTAAAAATGTTATAGATTTGGGCTTTACATTTAGGTCTATGATCAATTTTGAATTATTACATATGATGCAAGGTATGCATTAAGCCATGGATTCAGTTTTTTATATATGAATATCAAATTTTTCTACTACCATTTGCTGAAAAGACATTTTTTCCACTTAATTGCCTTGGCACCATACTCAAAATTAATTGAACATATTTTTTTCTGGACTCTCCAGTTCCATGGAAGTATCTGTTTATCTTTATACCAATAACATTGTTTGATTATTATAGCTATAATAAGTTTTAGAAATCAGATATTATTAAGTCCTCTCTGCTCTTCATCAAAATTGTTTTGGCTATTCTACACCCTTTGCATTTCCACAGAGATTTTAAAACTAGCTTGCCACTTTCTAAATAGCCAGCAGGGATTTTGATTGGGATTGCACTGAATTTATCTTTAGAGAAAACTGACAATATTGAGCCTTCCAATACTTGAACACACTATCTCTTCATTTAGGTTTTCTTTAATTTCTCTCCGTAACATTTTATAACTTTCAGTAGAGAGGTCTTACATATGTTTTATGAAATCTGTCCTTAAGTATTGAAATTTTTAATTTTACTATAAATGGTATTCTTTTAAAATGTCAACTTCTGACTTCATTTGCTAGTATACAGAAATACAACATACTTTTCTATATTGATCTTGATTCCTGTAACTTTGGTAAGTGCACTTAATTGGCCTAGTAGCTTATTTTTAGAAATCATAAACAATCACATCATCTGTGACCCCTATTCGGGTCAATTTGGTAAAATTTTGTTAACAATTTTGCAACTATATTCATAAGGGATATTAGGCTATAATTTTCTTTTCTTGGAAGGCATTTGTCTGGTTTTAGTATCAGGATAATACCAATGTCATAGAATGAGTTAAGAAGTATTCCCCCTCATCAAATTTATACAGTTATTTGTGTAAAACTGGTATTTATGACTTCCTAAAATGTTTGATAGAATTTATCAGGGAAGTTATTTGAACCCAGAGTTTCTTGGGGGAAATTCAATTTCTTTAACAGATATACAATTATTCAGGTTATTTGATTCTTCTTAAGTGAGCTTTGTTATTTTGTCTTTCAAGAAATTTGCCCATTACACCTAACTGTCCAATGCACTGACATCAAGTAATTCATATAATTATCTTATTTAGCCTTTTAGTAATGATTGGATCTGCAGTTCAACCAATTTTTTCATTCCTGATATTGGTAACTTGTGTCTTCTCTTTTTCCTAGTCCAGCAGGCTATACGGTCTTCTCAAATACCATATATTGGTTATCAATTTTATTGGTCTTCTCAAAGAGCCAGCTTTTGATTTCACTGACTTTCTCTACTGTTTTTTGATTTTTCTACTTCATTGGTTTTGGCTTTTATCTTTAACTCATTTCTTCTGCTTACTTTGGGTTTGATTGCTTCTTCTATTCTATTT